ATTTTTGTCAATTTGTGATCCTTAATCTTCAATTAATTAACATTACTTGTCTTTGATAATCATTTTCGCCCATAAAGTACATCTAGAATATGCAAAAAAAATATTTTCTTTCCCTCATTTGTAAACAAGCAAAGAATATTTTGATAGAATTTGATTTGTGGTATGATCCAAATTCCATGTTATTTGGATTTGGTTGAATAGAAGAAGTCTAAAGAGCTTGGGTTTTGAGAGTCCTAATTAATGAACATCAAATTCGTCAAAAATTGGGAGTTTGGTTTGGAAAAGGACGTTGAGATGGAAAAAACAACATGGAGCAAAAAAAAAAAAAGAAAAAGAAAAAAAGAAAGAGGATGCCCAGCACTGCTGCGGTATCGACGCTCCTGATCAATATAGAGAACCTGGCATCGGGGCGCCTAGAAGGTGGCGTCGAGGTGCTATGTGGTTTGTTAATTCTATTTTTTTGGGGATTTTAAGATTCTTCTTCATTTAGAACTCCAAGATGAGATATATATATATATATATATCAACATCATCTTGAGAGTTAGAGAGCATAAATTTTCTCCTCTACCCATGATTTTTTTCCCATATTGGGTTTCCATGTAAATCTTGGTGTTTATTTTCTTCTTGTTTATTTCATTATCGTCATTATCTTGTGGTCTAAATTTCAAAACAACTGGTATCAGAGTGAGATGTATAGTTTCGCAGACGACAATGAAGTATGATATCCCATTGTTTGATAGAAACACGAGATTTACCTTATGGCAAGTGAAGATGCAAGCAGTTCTAGCACAGATGGATTTAGAGGTAGCCCTGCTTGGCTTTGATATGATGCCTGCTATCTGAACACAGGATGGGAATCAGCATAGGGATCTAAAAGCCCAATCTCAAATTCATCTACATTTTTCAAATCAAATTCTTACGGATGTTCTAAAGAATAGAAGTATGGCTGTGTTGTAGTTGAAGTTGGACAAACAAGCTAACACTTGCATTCTCAATGGATGTCTGAAGATGCATCATTGGATGATCACTTTACTATGTTCTAAGAAATCGTTGCTGATTTGGAGACATTGGAAGTTAAGTATGACGAGGAGGACTTGACGTTGATGTTATTGTATTCTCTGCCACCTGACGTTTAGATATACAATTCTCTACAGTCAGGATACTTTAACCGTGGAAGAGGTCTATGATGTTTTACTATCTAGGAGAAGATGAGGCATCTTGCTAGAGGATCTAGGAAACTTAGCAGAAATATGAGGTGCAAATCGAAATCTAAACATACTGAGAAGACATGTCACTATTGTAAGAAGAAGAGGCATATTAGAGCTAATTGTTATGCCTTAAAAAATAGAAATAAAGCTACCGGTACTACTAAGAAAGGGAAGCAACCTATTAACACAACGGAGGCTGATATTGTGGAAGATGGGCAAAGTGAATGAGAGCTTCTTGTGATTTCTGATATGGATTTCAAACCTTGTGAGTAATGGGTTCTTGACCCAGCTTTTACTTTTCATATGTGTCCCAATAGGGACTAATTTTCAACATATGAAAGAGTTTCAAGAAGTGCAGTGATTATGGAAAACAACGCGCCTTGCCAAAGTACCAAATTTGTTACAGTCAGAATCAGAATATTCGATGGGGCTATCGGGACACTTATAGATGTAAGGCATGTTCCAGAACTGAAATGGAATCTCATATCTTTGAGTGTACTTGACTCAAACGGTTATAGATACACTGGTCAATTTGGAGTTTTGAAGGTGAGCCGGGGTGCTCTTTTTGTTATGAAGGGACATAAAAGCTCTGCACTGTTGTACATTTTGCATGGTTCCACAGTAATTGGGGATATAGCAGTTTCTACTTCTTCTTTGACAAATGATGAAGTTACAAAACTTTGGCATATATAGCTCAGACATATGAGTGAGAATTGCATGGCAGAGTTGTGTCTTCCTTTTATGAGCATTGCATTTTTGGAAACAGATTAGAGTCATATTCACGAAAGGAAGACACAACACAAAGGGAACACTTGAATATATCCCTTCAGATCTTTGGGGACTGGCCAGGGTACCATCAAAAGGAGGCTATTATTACTTGCTAACAATGATTGATGATTTCTCCAGGAAATTTTGGGTGTTCTTCTTGAAGGAGAATCTTAATGTGTTTGGGACCTTCAAGAAATGGAAAATATTATAGAAAAGCAGACTGGAAAGCATGGGAAACGTCCATGCACAGATAATGTTTTGGAATTTTGTTCAGATGAATTCAATAGTTTCTACTGGGCTGAAAGCATTTTGAGACACTTGACAGTGTCTAGAACTCCTCAATAGAATTGTGTGGCAAAACGGATGAATAGAACTTTGATGGAAAATTTTCATTGTATTCTTTCAAATTCTAGGTTACCTAAAACGTTTTGGACTGAAACTACTACTACTTGTTTTCTGATTAAACACTCATCCTCAGTCGCCATTGATAAAAAGACACCAGAAGAGGTATGGTCTAGTAAACCTTCTTATTATTTTGATTTGATTTTTGGGTGTTTCTTCTTATGCTCATGTGGATAACGGAAAGTTGGAGCCTAGGTCTAGAAAGTGCATCTTTCTTGGGTATAAATCAAGTGTAAATGGGTATAAATTGTGGTGTCTTGAGACAAGAAATGTGGTTGTTAGTAGGGATGTAGTATTTGATGAATTTGTTATGGTTCGTGGTTCACCTCTTGGGGATTCTGNTGGGTATAAATTGTGGTGTCTTGAGACAAGAAATGTGGTTGTTAGTAGGGATGTAGTATTTGATGAATTTGTTATGGGTCGGGGTTCACCTCTTGGGGATTCTGATAAAACTGAGAATTAAAATCATTCAACTTAAGTAGAGTTGGAAATTGGTTTAGAGGAACAATCAGAGGTTGCATAACAGTCTATTACAGATCAATCCAGTTCGAGGTTGACAGACAGAAATATCTTGCCTACTTTACCTACACCCCCAACACCACAGTATTCTATAGCTAAGGATAGACCTCACCGACAAATTAGACCTCCACAAAAGTATGGGGAAGCAGATTTGGTAGCTTATACATTGAGTGTGGTTGAAGACATTGATTCCACTGAGGAGCGCATATCCAAAGGCGATCAGTTGTAGTGATTCTAGCAGATGGATGATTGCTATGCAAAAGGATATAGAGTCATTAAGCAAAAATAACAATTGGAACTTCGTGAAATTACCTATAGGTAAAAAGATTGTTTCACTGCAAATGGGTGTTCAAACGAAAGAAAGGTATATCAGGGATTGAAGATGCTAGATACAAGGCTAGATTGGTAGCAAAGGACTACAGTCAGATTCCAGGTGCTAACTTTACATATGTGTTCTCACTATCTGTGTAGCGTATTTTCATTCGGGCTTTACTTGAAGTGGTTGCCAAGAATGACTTGGAGCTTGAGCAGATGGATGTCAAGATAGCATTCTTACATGTAGAACTTGATAAAGGCATCTACATGCAACAACCAAATAGGTTCATAGTCTCTAGAAATGAAAACTATGTGTACTTAATGAAGAAGTCCTTGTATAGAATAAAATAGTCACCGAAGCAGTGGTATAAGAGGTTTGATTCATTCATGACAACTCGTGATTTCTTCATATATAATTATGATAGTTGTGTGTACTTCAGAAAGGAAGATAGTAGATCGATTACATATTTGGTATTATATGTTGATGATATGCTTATAACAACTAAAGATAAAATAGTGTTCAGAAAAGTGAAGTTTCAACTCAGCAAGGAGTTTGATATGAAGGATTTGGGTACAATAAAGAAGATTCTTGGTATGAAAATCTTGAGGGACAGAAAGGCTGACAGATTGTATTTGAGTCAGAATGGATATATTGAGAAAGTGCTCGAAAGATTCAATATGGTGAATGCGAAGGCTATCATTACTCCCTTAGCTGCTCACTTTAAATTATCATCTAACTTGTGTCCTCAATCAGATGAAGACATTCATTACATGTCTTGGGTTCCTTATTCCAGTATAGTTGGTTCACTGATGTATAGTATAGTTTGTACAAGACCTGATTTGGCACATGCAGTTAGTGCAGTTAGCAGATACATTGCAAATCTTAGCAATGAACATTGGAAATCAGTGCTACTTGAGAGGCTTTTCTAATGCTTGTTTGCATTTTGGTAGAAATTTACATGGAGTCATTGGGTATGTAGATTTAGATTCTGTAGAGGATCTTGATAAGATGAGATCACTTACACGGTATGTGTTTAGTCTTGGAAGCTGTGCTATCAGTTGGAAAGCTACTTCTCAAAATACAGTAGTTTTTTCTACAACAGAAGTGAATACATGGTCATTACAAAGGCATGTAAAGAGGCTATGTCGGTGAGAGGATTGATTGGTGAAATCATTGAAGACTTGTAGATGTCTACAGTATTTTGTGATAGTCAGAGTGCAATTTTCCTGACTAAGGATCATAGTCAGAGTGCAATTTTCCTGACTAAGGATCAGATGTTTCATGAGAGGCAATACAACAAAAATAGCCTACAACAAGGTTCAAAAAACGTTGCCGTAGGCCTACGGCAACGTTTGGACATGTGTTGCAAATTAAGGTGTTGTCGTAGAATAAAGAGATACGGCAACGTTTTTTGAACGTTGCCGAAAGTCTTCGGTTGCGAAAGACAGTCTATGGCAACGTTTGCCAAACGTTGCCGTATCTATCTACGGCAACATTTCCCAAACGTTGCCATAGGCTGGGTTTATATATATATTAATATTATTAACAACAACAATTTATGCAAATAAGTTGGCAAAATTAAAAATCCAACTTATGAACAAATTTTGGAATTGCATAAAAATTGATAATTTCATTACAAATTTTTTAATCCTTACACTTGAATATTAGAATGGGATACAACACCACTTAAGAATCAA